TGTGTCACCCAGTATATGGGGTGAAACTAATTCTAGGTGTGAAATGTGATATTTCCAGAACCCAAAGAGGCCTACCAGGCATTGCACTTCCAGAAAATTCTCTGTGAGGAAGGTAAAAAAAAAAATACCCTAACTTGTCCTTTCTTTGAGAGGATATTCTGGCATTCTCCATGCCATTCAACCCCTAAAAATTTAACTTGATGTGGCTAACTCCCTGGATCTTTGTAGGGTTTATCTCCCATTCTCCATGGTGGATCTGTCTTACTAAGGCCTCCAATGTGCTAGCCCCTTCTTACTCATTTTGGTCCAATTAGCATGATGTCATTGACATGGTAGATTAGTATTATATTCTGAAGAATGTTTAAGTGGTCCACACCTCTTCAGACTATATTATGACAGAGGACATAAGAGTTAGTAGAGTACTGAGGAAAAACTGTATATGCATACTGTTATCCATTCTGTGTGAATATGAACTTTCCATTATGATACGGATAGGGAAAAACACATTTTCTAAATCAATAGCTGAAAACTAGGTACTTAAGGCCATGCTTTCTGCTGTAGCAAGGATATCATATCTGGCATGGCATTGCAATTGTCTTAGCACTTGGCTGAGTTTTCAATAGTCTAGCATCATCTAGGCTCTGTTCACATTTTGCAGGGGATCAAACTGGTGAATTAAACAAAGATATAACAGAGACTATACGTCTACATTCTCTAGGTCTTCAAAAACAGCAATAATTTCTACCATCCTCCACTCCACAGGTGCCATGTGTTTTCACTTACTATCTTGGCCAGAGAAGGTAAGGGCAGTTTCAGATGCTTCCACTTGGCCTTCTCATCTACAAATAGCTCAGACTCCACAAGCCAAGGAACTGCTATAGGGCTTATACCAACTAACCAACTATGTCTGTTCCAATTATACATACAGAGATCAAAAAAAAAACCACTGAGTGGGTCTGTGAACCCAGTGGGCCCACTGTAAACCCTACCTAAGCCAGGATCGCTTTTAATACTTGGCACCCATGTGCCCCCATTCTAATAAGGGGGCAAATTAAGACACTTTAGGTCTCTGGGTGTCAATATCAACTCAGAACCAGTGTCCATCTGTTCTCAAAATGTTTGGATATTTCTCTTTCCTTGGCACACAGTTACCTCAGTAAATGGAAGGACTAAAGAAATCATTACTACACATGTGTTGCAGGGTCCTTCTTACTGGGCACTCAGCCTTTCCTTCAAACCATGTGTTGTGGATGAAAACCTAACTTGAGACCAGAAGGTGGATAAGACTTTTTATTGAGGCAACCTCCCTCAAACCTGTGACCACCTTTCATTTCTTTTGATTGAATAGAGTGTATATTGTTGGCTGCCTATTTCCCCCCAGGGCATCATGTTGTATTGACTGTCCATGTCCTATTAACTATCTCTTAACCATCTACGCATTAGGAGTACTATGTTCTGTTAACCATCTCCATAGCTCTGTGCAGGTCAGGCCTCCCCATTTGCCACTCTGGCCCTGCAGTGCATTGTGTTATTTACATCCACGTGACTTCTGACAGTTAAGTGCCGTCATCCTGCCTCTATTATTTCAGAGGCATCATCATTTCTACCATTGATCCTCATTCCATAAGATCCTTTCCTACTCTGAGCCCTGGCATGCAGAAGAGATCCACTACTGAACTTTTTATGATGCTGATGTTGCTCTCACCAGAATATTCCTTATATCCTCAGTAAATGGTGTGTCCTTTGGGTCCTCCTGCAGAATATAATCTTCTGAAAGGTCTTCTGACCTTACATAACATGTTTATTCTATAATTCTCACCTCTCTGAGTCTTAAATCCCTTTTTCCACCATCTTCTATGGCAACTCTGGCATTTACACCTCACTTGACGTAGGCCATGGCTTTTTCCATACTTTGAGGAGCTATTGTAGCAATGAGTTCCTGCCATTTCCTGTGGTTTTTGCCAGAGTATTAAACCCTGCATTCTGGGAGAGCACTTACAAATTGATTCATTCTCTCATATTCAATTTTATATTCCAGCCCTCCTGATCAAGCTCCTCAGAATTTGGTGCCCTACTTACTCCCTCAGCACCTTCTAGTACATGCTGACTAGGTTACGTCCTGAAACACTTTGTTGGTGTATTCTCTTTCTTTCCTTGTTATACCCAGCACATCACCAGCTAGATTATGCTGTGGCTTAACCCTAGTTATAGGTCCAGTGGCCAGGATAGGAGGTAGAGGCAGATTCTGAGAGAAACCTAGGTTATCTTATAGGGGAAAGAATTCCATATATTGGAGCAAGGTGAAGTGCCAGCCCTTAATAGAAGGAGTAGAACACTTCTCAATGGGGCTCAGGATAATCTGGGGATACAAGATTTTTAGGGACATCAATCCAGATGTCCCTATCCCAAGTATCAGAGTCCCATTGCTTCTTAATCATGGCACTAAATTCAGCATAGAAGACATCTTGGTTAAAATTGTAACTTTCTTTGAATCTTGCTTTTAACAAATCTTGAGTCTACTCCTCAGATTTCTCTACCCTCTACCTGGAAAAGATGAGAGCCTCTTTATATGTTATAAATAAAGCCCTCTGGCTTTCAAACACAGCTATCAATTGTTAATTTAATTCACCTTTTTGTTATTCTTTTCTAGAGTTCAATCAGCTTATCAACAGCCACCCAATTTTCTGGCCAGCCTTATGTTTAATATTTCCCATATTTCTCAAAGGTCTGATACATGGCACCAGTTAATGTGTCCCCTTTTGCCAGTATGACACCCCAGTTCACCACCATTGAAAGTTTTAACAATTCCTCTGCCACTGTGTTCCAGAGGCCTATCTACTCCACCTACCACCAATGATGGAGTCTTCATTGACATCAGAGTAGCAGGTAATTCATGTCCAAAATTTCATCACAGTATTTGCTTTCTTGAACCACTTCTTATACCAACTGTTGCAGGTTGGCTTCCCGGGAAGCAGACCCAGAGACAGAGTTCAGCATGAAGGGTTTTTACTAGGGAATGCTCTTGGGATCAACACCTGTGGAAGGGAAAAGAAGGAAGCAGGATTGGACAGAGGGAGGAGTTAAGCTGTCCCAATTTGGGGCAGGAAGGCCATATTCATTAGTAATTGGATGTGAAATACCCTCAGGTAGGGGATGTAACCTTGGGGAGGCTTTCTTCAGCTTAGGAAATTCTTGAAAAGGGCTGACATCTGAGGATTGTGTATTTGCTGCACTCCTAGCAATTAAAATAATACATTTTTTATTCCTGAAGAGGGATCAGGGCAGCAGATGGTAGAATCCAACACGAGCATGGTACCATTTTTTTACAGTAAAGTCGGTTGGTGACTAATATTGAGAACAGTTTTATTTTTAAAACAGCTAATGAGATTTAAATTTTAAAACACTTATTGCTTTATAAATAATATTTATTTAAAATGTTAAGTTATGCTTTCCAAGTATGTAGATGTAAATACGTGATCCTACATTTATACTTTTGCTCCAGGTCCCTCAAATACTATTGACCAGGCCTGCCTAGCCTGAATCCATCCTTTTCCTTGTTGGTAAATTATGCATAAAATTCCATTTATTTTAAAAATATCATAAATAGAGATGAGTAAAAAGCAAATGAAATCACCCATCAATCTAACACTCACAGAAAATTATTAACATTCTCAGAGTATGAGGCAAGATAATTTAGATACATACTTTTTCTTCATTAAATGTATGGCATATGCTTTTATAGCCTATTTTTCCCACCTAAGATTATATGCTGAATTTCTAATGTAAATACAGGTAGATGTCCATTAACATTTTCAATAGCTGTATAATATTTAAATGTGTAGACATAATAATTTGTTTAGCCGACTGTATCTTGAGATACTTGGGTCATTTACAACTTTTCACCCTTCAAAACAGTTTGAAGATGGACAGCTTTCTACAAGCCAATTATGTGATTATTTCCTAAAGATACATTTCTATAAGTGGAATTAACAGGTCAAAGGATGTGCATATATTCCAATGGACCTTGTGCCAGTGTATACTCTCACCAGCAGATTAAGAGCACTCCTCCCCCCACACCCTCACCCTCACTGTTGGGTGGAAGAGAGGTAGATCTTCTATGTGTATCCCAACAGCACTCTCCATGGTTTCATAAAGGGCCCACCTTAACTAACCTTATAAAGGAAATCTGATACAAGCACTAAAACTTATTCTTTCTTCTAGTATACTTTCCTCTTATTTCAAAGGAGTAACTGTTCACTTACATGGATACCAGAATTGGCCAAGAGGACATTTTTCTGTCAAATGCCCCCAGGACCCTAAAATAAAATTGGTCCTCTCTGTGTGTCTCTAGAATACATCTCAGCACTTATTGATTCAAAGGGCCTCTCACTTCCATCCTCGCCTTACCTTTCCCATGGCCACCAGTAAAATTTCATGCCTTTATTATCTCACGCCTGGACTAACTTATGGTAGCTTCCTGTTTTACCAGTCTCCACATGCTGCACATAAATCTACCATGTTGTTTTCCTTTCATCTTGTCTATCCTCTGGTCACAAAAGACCTTGATGTCTCACAGGAGTGGATGGGGTAATATTCAGACACCCCAGTTTAGCAGTTAGCAATGTTCCACGAACAGGACTCACCTCTACTGCCTGACTCTCTCTCTCTCTCATCACTACTCTCCCTACACTTTGCACTCCAGGCAGGCCAGCACTTCTCTCTGGAAAGGATTCCCATCTCCACGCCTTTCTTCCCATCACTCCTCCCACCTTGAGTGCCCTTCTGACCCTTTCATATCATTGAAGCCCAGCTTACCTAAGAGTCCCCCTCCTTCGTAAAACTTCCCTGAGCACTGTTGCCTGCAGCAGTTTCTGCCACCTCTAAACACTGATAGGAGGCATCTGGCCATGATTGGAAGCTCCCAGTTTTATTATTATCTTTTTGTTTCCATATATCTTGCCTTTCCAAACAGATCATAAACTCAAGGACAAGGACAATGTCTTTTTTCTGCTGCTTAAAACACACAACTTTATTGATGACATAAAAATAAAATCTTAAATGTATAAACAAAAGTCCACACAAAGGACCAAAGGTTATCTTACTCATGAAGAATCCGTTCAGTTTCTGCTCATGAAGCATACTAAAAATATCTCAATCCAGACAAGATAAAAATCAACATATGTATTTTCAGTACAAGTTTGAGTTCATTTGGTGTTCACAAAATGGTCCAGCTATAGACCATCATAGGTAACATCAGTTTCGAAGTTATAATGCAGTTTACAATGTGCATTACTTCCAGAGTGCAAAACCAAAATATTACTCAAATTTGTTTGGGAACATACAGCCAATCAGAGTTTACTTATTAATAGCTCAACTCTCTCTTTTACCTCAGGGTCATTGCATTCTGCTGCTAAGGCTCGAAGTTTCTTGGCACATGCTTTAGGTCGTTGGAATAGGAAATAAAGGGAATTTTCACTGAACTTGTCCTGGGTAAATGCTTTTGCTCTTCTTTTAAAATGGTAATTTATATTTTCAAATAGTGAAAGAGCATTAAGAATGTTCTCTTTTGTCTCCTTCTTGCTAAAAATGTTAATCAGTGATGTCGGTGCATTGGCAATGAGCAAGTCTTTTGTCATAGATGGATTTTTAGAGAAATTCAAAAGCATTCCCAAAACATGGTCTTTAGTTTCTCCACTTCCCACAGTTAACAAACGAAGAAATTCTGAAATATAATTTGTAACCATGTGCTGATATTCACTGGTAATAGTTAAATGCCTTATCAATCTTAGACCAGCCAACTGCACATTTGAATTCAAGGGATAGGTGACAGTGTCTTCACATACTTGGTTTAAGTAAGTTTTAACCTGCCTATGGTTTTCAGCAGCCACTGAGATATTATTCAGTGCATTTAAAGCCTTCTGCCTAACACTGGGGTAGGGGTTATTGAGCAAGCTTTCAATAACTGAGATTCCACCTACATTACGGACAACTTCACGGGAATAAGGATAATCAGCACTGTTATATAAAGCATTATTGGCTATTTCATGAACAGAAGGATCTTCAGTCATCTCAATCATGCAAATGAGTTTTTCAAAGTCTTGTGGATCCATATTAGCTTCACGTTTACAGTGGCAAGACCAGGACCGAGTTTTTTCCCCAGTCTTGGTTTGCTTTTTGGACTCATCTTCAACGGGGAAGCTGGCCTCACTGTGGTGTGGAAACTTAGTTTCCGACCAGATCATGGTTCCATCCCATAACCCCATTCCTGCCCCGGGGACCATGGACGGATATGTGCCTCTTGACTCAGGTGACTTATTGCCTTTACCCTTAGGTGCAGATTTGTCCTCACTTGTGTTTTCATTACCGTCACAGAACCAAGACTCTATATCAACTCCACCCGCAGCCTCAAACTTATCCTTGATCCTGGTGTTATCCCCAGCTCCAGACTCAAAATTGACATCTTTCTCACTCTTAGATCTGAACTTATTACTGTTCTCACTCTCAGCCCAAAATAAAGACCTTAAACTGATCTCCTCAATATCGGGGCTGGACTCTCTACTTAGATCATCCTCATCCACATCCTGAGCCAAGGTCCAGGACTCTACACCAACCTCTTCCCTAGCCCCAAGCCTAGACTCTATAGTGGTTATCTCTCCATCCCAGGACCAAGCCCCAGCCCCAGCCTCAGCCCCAAGCCTAGACTCTATAGTGGTTGCAGCTCCATCCCAGAACCAAGCCCCAGCCCCAGCCTCAGCCCCAGCCCCAGCCCCAGCCCCAGCTCCAGCCCCATACCTAGACTCTATAGTGGCTGCATCTCTATCCCAGGACCAAGCTCCAGCCTCAGCCTCAGCTCCAAGCCTAGACTCTATAGTAGTTGCATCTCCATCCCAGGACCAAGCCCCAGCCCCAGCCTCAGCCCCAAGCCTAGACTCTATAGTGGTTGCAGCTCCATCCCAGGACCAAGCCCCAGCCCCAGCCTCAGCTCCAAGCCTAGACTCTATAGTGGTTGCCTCTCCATTCCAGGACCAAGCCCCAGCCCCAGCCCCAGCCTCAGCCCCAGCACCAGCCCCAGCCTCAGCCCCAGCCCCAGCCCTATTCCCAGCCTCAGCCCCAAGCCTACACTCTATAGTGGTTGCATCCTCATCCCAGGACCAAGCCCCAGCCCCAGCCTCAGCTCCAAGTGTAGACTCTATAGTAGTTGCATCTCCATCCCAGGACCAAGCTCCAGCCCCAGCCTCAGCCCCAAGCCTAGACTCTATAGTGGTTGCATCTCCATCCCAGGACCAAGCCCCAGCCCCAGCCCCAGTCCCAGCCTCAGCCCCAGCCCCAGACTCAGCCTCAGTCCCAGCCCCAACCTCAGCCCCAGCCCCAGCCCCAGCCTCAGCCCCAAGCCTAGATTCTATAGTGGTTGCATCTCCATCCCAGGACCAAGCCCCAGCCCCAGCCCCAGCCTCAGCCTCAGCCCCAGCTCCAGCCTCAGGCCCAGCCCCAGCCTCAGACCCATCCCTAGCCCCAGCCTCAGCCCCAAGCCTAGACCCTATAGTGGTTGCATCTCCATCCCAGGACCAAGCCCCAGCCCCAGCCTCAGCCCCAGCCTCAGCCCCAGCCTCAGCCCTAGACACAGACCCAGACCCAGACCCAGACCCAGACCCAGCCTCAGCCCCAGCCCCAGCCCCAGTCTCAGCCCCAAGCCTAGACTCTATGGTGGTTGCATCTCCATCCCAGGACCAAGCCCCAGCCCCAGCCTCAGCCCCAACCTCAGCCCCAGCTCCAGCTCCAGCCCCAGCCCCTGCCCCAGCCCGAGACCCAGCCTCAGCCCCAGACACAGACCCAGACCCAGACCCAACCTCAGCCCCAGTCTCGGCCCCAAGCCTAGACTCTATAGTGGTTGCATCACCATCCCAGGACCAAGCCCCAGACCCAGCCTCAGCCCCAGCTCCAGACCCAGCCCCTGCCCCAGACCCAGACCCAGCCTCAGCCCCAGACACAGACCCAGACCCAGACCCAACCTCAGCCCCAGTCTCAGCCCCAAGCCTAGACTCTATAGTGATTGCATCTCCATCCCAGGACCAAGCCCCAGCCCCAGCCTCAGCCCCAACTCCAGCCCCAGCCCCAGCTCCAGCCCCAGCCCCAGCCTCAGACCCAGAGCCAGACCCAGACCCAGACCCAGACCCAGACCCAGACCCAGTCTCAGCCCCAAGCCTAGACTCTATAGTGGTTGTATCTCCATCCCAGGACCAAGCCACAGCCCCAGCCTCAGACCCAGACCCAGCCCCAGTCCCAGCCCCAGCCTCAGACCCAACCCCAGCCCCAGCCTCAGCCCCAAGCCTAGACTCTATAGTGGTTGCATCTCCATCCCAGGACCAAGCCACAGCCCTAGCCTCAGACCCAGCCCCAGACCCAGCCCCAGACCCAGCCCCAGCCCCAGCCTCAGACCCAATCCTAGACTCTATAGTGGTTGCATCTCCATCCCAGGACCAAGCCCCAGCCCCAGCCTCAGACCCAGCCCCAGCCTCAGTCCCAGCCCCAGCCTCAGACCCAGCCCCAGCCCCAGTCCCAGCCCCAGCCTCAGTCCCAGTCCCAGCCCCAGCCTCAGTCCCAGCCCCAGTCCCAGCCCCAGCCCCAGCCTCAGCCCCAGCCCCAGCCCCAGCCTCAGCCCCAGCCCCAGCCTCAGCCCCAAGCCTAGACTCTATAGTGGTTGCATCTCTATTCCAGGACCAAGCCCCAGCCCCAGCCTCAGACCTAGACCCAGACCCAGACCCACCCTCAGACCCACCCTCAGACTCAGCCTCAGCCCTAGCCCCAGCCTCAGACTCAGCCCCAGCCTCAGACTCAGCCCTAGCCCCAGCCCCAGCCCCAGTCCCAACCCCAGCCTCAGCCCCAGCCCCAGCCCCAGCCCTAGCCCCAGCCTCAGCCCCAGCCTCAGCCCCCACACTGGAGCCCATATAAGCCACCTCCTCAGATCTAATCCAGGAGCCACTACTAGCCTTGTTCTCAGCCTCAATCCTAGAACAAATGATGGCCTCTTCCCCAGCCCCTGATCTGGATTCAGTAGTGGCCTCATCCTTATCATCAGGCCTGGACACAATGACCTTTTCCTCTGTCCAGCACCAAGACCCTATAACAGCCTCAGCCCCAGGCCCAAACCAGAATCCTTCATTGGCCTCTACCTCAACACTGACCTGGAACCTTCCACTGGCCTGGTCCTCAGATCTAGCCCAGGATCCTCCACTGGCCTGGTCCTCAGATCCCATCTTAGACCCTTCAGTGGCCTCATTCCCAGACCTAGATCCAGCCCAAGATTCTCCACTGGCTTGGCTCCCAGCACCAGCCCAGGAGCCTCCTCCACAAGCCTGGTTCTCAAATTCAGGCTTGGAACAATCACCAGCCTGATCCCCAGGCCCAATCCAGGACCTTCCATTGGACTGATTCCCAGTGCCAGCCCAGGATCCACCACTGGACTGGTCTGCAGGCCCTGGCCTAGATCCTCCAAGGACCTGGCCACCAGCCATACCCCAGGAACCTCTTCCACTGGACTGATCCTCAGACCCTGGCCTGGAGCCTCCACCAGCCTGGTCCCCAGCACCAGGCCAGAACACTCCTCCAATGGCCTGATCTTCAAATCCAGGTTTGGAACAACCACCAGCCTGATCCACGGCCCTAACTCCAGTCCAGGAGCTTCCACTGACCTGACTCCCAGTGCTATCCCAGGACACAGCACTGGACTGGTTTGTGGGCCCTGGCCTTGACCCTCCAACGTCCTGGCCACTAGCTGCACCCCAAGACCCTCCATTCATCTGGCTCCCAGGGCAAACACAGAACCACCCACTGGCCTGATCACCAGTGCCAGCCCAGGAATCTCCACTAGACTGGTCCCTGGGCCCCAGCCTAGGATCTCCAACAGCCTGGTCCCCAGCATTAGCCCAGGACCCTCCGCCACTGGCCTGATCCTCAAATATAGGCTTTGGCCCACCACTAGCCAGATGCCCAGCCCCAGTCCAGGACCCTCCATTGGCCTGGTCCACAACCCCAACCAAGAATCCTCCACTGATTTGATCCCCAGAGTTAGCCCATGACCTTCCACTGCACTGGTCTTCAGGCCCCAACTTGGACCCTCCACCAGCCTGGCCACCAGCCTGGCCACCAGCCCCAGCCCACAACCCTTTTTCAGTGGTCTGATTTTCAAATCTAGGCTTGGACCCACCACCAGAATGATCAAGTGTCCCAACCCAGGACCCACCACTGGTCTGATCTACATGGCCCAGCCTAGACCCTCCACTGGCTTGGTCTGCAGTGTCAGGCCAAGACCTTCCACTGGACTGTTCCTCAGGCCCCAACCTTGACCCTCCACTAGCCTGGCCACCAGCCCCAGCCCAGGACCCTTCTCCACTGGCTTGATCCTCAAATCTAGGCTTGGACCCACCACCAGATTGATCGCTAATCCCAGCCCAGGACCCTCCACTGGCCTGATCCACAACCCCAGCCCAGTATGAAACACTACTCATATTCCCAGCCCCAACTACAGCCCAAGACCCTCCACTGGCTTGGTTCTCAGCCCCAGTCCAGGACCCTCCAATGGCCTGTTCCCCAACCCAGGACACCCCACTGGCCTGTCCCCCGGGCCAGGACACCCCACTGGCCTGTCCCCCAGGCCAGGACCCATCACTGGCCTGACCCACAGCCCAAATTTCTCCAAAGGCCTGATTCCCAGTGACAACCCAAGCCCCCCCACTGGCCTGGTTCTCAGCCACAGTCCAAGCCCCTCCACTGGCCTTGTCCCCAGCCCAGGTCCCCTCACTAGTCTGACCCCCCACCCAGAGCCCTCCACTGGCCTGCTCCCCAGCTCTAACCCAGGTCCCAATACTAACCTCATTCTCAGCCCTGGCCCCAGCCCAGGACTTAACACTGGCCTCATCACAAGCCACAGCCCAAGAGCTAATAATCCCAGCCTTATCACTAGCCCCACTCCAGGACCCAGTACTGGCTTCATTCTCATCATCAGCCCAGGTCACACCATTTTCCCAGTCTCCATCCATGGTCTGAAACCTAAATTTGATCCACCGCTCAGCAGCAATCCAATCTTCAACACCAATCCCATTCCAGTAGTAGTCATGGATGTCAGGCTGAGTCTTTCTGCAGGCTTGAGCACCTGACCCACCCTCATTCTCAGAAATGGGCACGGCCTCAGCCTCAGGCTTTGCATAGACCTCATCTTCTGCTGTCGCTTCTGCCTCAGAACTAGGCATAGCCTTGTCCCTTGCCGTAGGCAAGGTCTCACCCTGGGAACCGGCGACAATCTGAGGCTGGGCAGAGTCCCTTGTGCCTGCCCCAGTCCCTGCTTTAGGCACAGCTTTGGTATTGCCCTTGACCTTATTCCTGGCACCAAGCAAGGTCTCACACTGAGTATTAGCCACAGCTTGGGGCTGGCCAGAGCCCACTGTATCTGCCCCAGCCTCTGCCTTAGGCACAGCACTGGAATTGCCCCTGACCTTATTTTTGGCCCCAGGCAAGACCTTACCATGAGAACTGGCCACAACCTGGACAGAGCCCATTATGCCTGACCCAGCCTCTGCCTTAGAAATAGCATTGGAATTGCCCTTAACCTTATTCCTGGCACCAGAAAACGTCTCATGCTGGGAGTTGGCCACAACCTGAGGCTGGACAGAGCCCGTTTTATCTTCTCTGGCCCCTGCTTTAGACACAACATTGGGATTGCCCTTGACCTTATTCTTGGCACCAGGCAAGACTTCACCCTGGGAATTGGCCACAGCTTGAGGCTGGGCAGAGCCTGTTGTATCCATCCCAGCCCCTGCCTTAGACACAGTGTTCCAATTTCCCCTGACCTTATTCTTGGCACCAGGTAAGGTCTCACCCTGGGAATTAGCCACAGCCTGGGACTGGACAGAGCCTGTTGCACCCATCCCAGCCTCTGCCTTAGACAGAGCATGAAGATTGGCCTTAACCTTATTTTTGGCACTAGGCAAGACCTCATCCTGGGAAGTAGCCACAGCCTGTGGCTGGGCAGAGTCCATTATATATGGCGCAGCCCCTGAACTAGGCATGGTAGTGGGATTGCCTCTGACCTTATTCTTGGCACCAGGCAAGACCTCACTCTGGGAATTGGCCACAATCTGAGGCTGGGCAGAGCCCATTGTATCTGTCCCAGCCCCCGCCTTAGACACAGCATTGGAATTGACCTTGGCCTTATTCTTGGAATCAAACAAGGCCTCACCCTTAGAACTGGCCACAATCTGAAGCTGAGCAGTGCCCATTGCACCTGCCCCAACCTCTGCCTTAAGCACAGCATTGGGATTATCCTTTACTTTAGTCTTGGTACCAAGCAAGGCGTCACCCTGGAAACTGACCACTGCCTGAAGCTGGGCAGAGTCTGTTGTACCTTCCCCAGCCCCCATCTTAGGCACAGCATGGGGATTGCCCTTGGCTTTATTCTTGGCAGCAGGCAAGCCCTCACCCTGGGGATTGGCCACAACCAGGGACTGACCATAGGCCTTCTGGTCTGCCTTAGTTCCGGCTTTAGAAATGGCATTAAGATTGCCCCTACCATCAACCCTGGAATCAGGCAAGGCCTCAGCTGGGGTCTTGACCCCAGCCTGAGGCTGTGCACAGGTTTTCATGTCCATCCCAGCCCCTGCCTTGCACTTGGCTTTGGCTTTGGCCCTAGACTTACCTCTAGCATTAGGTAAGGCTTCACCCTGGCTCTGGGCCATACACTGAGCCTTCATATCCATCCCAGATCCTTCCTTGGGCATGCTATTGACATTGCCCTTGACCTTAATTCTGCCATCAGACAAGGTATTAGCCTGAACAATGGCCACAAGCTGAGGCTGTGTACAGGACAACATGTCTGCTCCATCCCCCATCTTAGCCATAACACTGGGATTGCCTCTGCTCTTATCTCTGGCATTAGGCAAGGCCTCAACCTGGGAATTGGCCCTCAAGTTTGTCCTGGTCCCTGCTTTAGTCACGGCATTGGGATTGCCTCTCTCCTTAACCTTGGCATCAGACATGGCCTCAGCATGAGGACCGGCAATAGCTTGAGGCTGAGCAGCAGCTCTCATGTCAGCTCCAGTTATTGCCTTAGATATGACATTGGTATTTCCCCTGCCATCAGCCCTGGAACCAGACGTCACCTCAGCCTGTTTCTTGGCCACAGTCTGAGGTTGTATACAAGTTCTCACATCTGCCCCTGCCCCCACCTTACACATGGCACTGGTGTTACCCCCAGCATCAACCTTTGCCCCTGGAATGGCCTCAATCTGGGTTTTGGCAACAATCTGAGGCTGAGAAGAAGCCCTCGTGTCTGCCCCAGACTCTTCCCGGGACATGGTTTTCCAGTTCCCCATGTCCTCAATCCTAGCACCAGGCATGTCGTCACCCTGGATCTTGGCCACAGCCTGAGACTGTGCACAGGACTTCATGTCCACTCCAGCCACCTCCCTGGACATGCCATTGGGATTTCCCCTAGCATCAACTGTGGAACCAGGTCTGGCCTCAGACTGAGTCTTAGCCACACTCACAGTCTCTTCCAGAGCTCTTGTCTTGGTTTCATCCACAATTCCAGTCTTGTTCGTGGCCCCCATCTTGGCCACTTCCCCAGGTACTGCCAAGGTCTCGCTCTGTGGAACCATTACTCTGTGCATCTCTGCCTCTTTTTCAGCCAATATGTGAGTTTCAGCTTTAGTCTGAGTCATTGCTTCTCTCTTGGCCTCTGTCTTGGCAACCGATGCCCAAGCTTTAGCCTTGGTCTGTGTCACTGCTTCTTTCTTAACTATTTTGCCAGCCTCAGCATCAGTTTGGGTCACTGCTTCTTTCATGGCCACTTCCCTGGCTTTGGCCTTGGCCTCAGTCAGAGTCACTGCCTCTGTCATGACCAGTGATCCAGCCACCACTTTGGACTCAGATTGAGTCTCTGCCTCTGCCCCAATCATTGCCTTGGCCTGAGAGTTGGCTTTGTGTCTGGCTATAGCAGTGGCCTTGGTCTCTACTTCAGCCCCAGGCCCACCTCCTGCTCCAGTTTCTGCTTCAATCTCAGCCTGGGATTTAGTCTCAATCTCTGCTTCACCTATGGCCAAGGTCTGGTTCTGTACCTCAACCACAGTTTCCATCTTAACTGTGGATTCATTTCTGGCATGTGTTCTCACACTCTGGGCTCTTCCTTTGGTTAATTTGTAAATATAGTAGCAGGTGCCAGCCCAGATCACCAGTCCTGCAGTCACCCAGCCCACTTCCTGAATGCGGCCCATGTAATCACCCTTGCTGAAGGCACAAACAAGGTATGGTAGAGCGTACTCGGGCTGCCGTAAAGAGAGTGGTAGTTGTGGATGTAGGCCTGTGAGGGTGCTGGTCTTCAGCCACTCAAAGGCCACTACAGCTGCCACTGGAGGTGGACCTAGAAGTGGAGGAAGGAAATAGACTAAAATTTCTCTTCTGATTTTGTTGCATTATACAGATAGATACACAGAGGAACAGAAAAAGGTAGAATCATGTGCTTGGTGAAAGAGAGGATGATTAGCAGACTCTCCATTCCTCTTATTTCATCTTCTCTCCACCTTCCCCAATGCCCAGTGATTTTCTTCCAAGGTACATCTATACACATATCCATACATCAAAGGAACAGTGGGAAAGATGGAAGGAGGTCTGACAATAAATGGGAGCAACTGAGAAGCCCCAGATTTTGATTTCTACTGGACCTACTCCAGTCACCAGTCTATAGGGACCCAACCTAATACCAACCTGTAATGATCCGAGGTAATTCCTTCCTCTCCTCTTGCTTCTCTTGGCAATACACCCTGAAGTAGATACATAAATTCATGAGATCTTTGGATCTAGAGACAGACAGACAGATGGGGGGACAGATTGGAGTCGAGAGTTTGTTATTGATAGGACAGGCATATTATTAGCAAACTACCTTTCTACACTTCTCAGTCCACCCCAATCCCCAAGATGCTGTCACACTCTTTACCCTGTACAAGAGTTAAGGCGAAGGTATGGAGTAAGTGACAGGAATGGTAAAAAAAAAAGATGGCTGGAAAAGAAGAGGCTGAGGATCCTCCTAACTGGTCACTGGTCTTTGTTATTAGCAAACTACCTTTCTACACTTCTCAGTCCAGCCCAATCCCCAAAATGCTGTCACACTCTTTACCCTGTACAAGAGTTAAGGCGAAGGTATGGAGTAAGTGACAGGAATGGTAGAAAAAAAAAAAGATGGCTGGAAAAGAAGAGGCTGAGGATCCTCCTAACTGGTCACTGGTTCTTACTGGATGCAAACTGGTCTCCATCAACCCACCCTAGAGGTCTACCCAGGCAGTCCCCAAATTCTTACCAGTCTATACTGATCAGGAGCAATCTCCTCTTTGTTTCTTTGCTTCCAGTGATCTCAAGTCCTGCAATAGACATGCAGGCAGATCTATGGACAAGTAAACAAAGAGTAGGTAATGGAAATTGAGTCCCTGGTAGAACAGACAAGTACCCTGACTTATGACCCCAATGTCTGCCTCACCAGAGCCCAGATTCAATATACTAATGTGTATCATCTCATGGTCCCCACGTAAACAAAGAGTAGGTAATGGAAATTGAGTCCCTGGTAGAACAGGCAAGTACCCTGACTTATGACCCCAATGTCTGCCTCACCAGAGCCCAGATTCAATATACTAATGTGTATCATCTCATGGTCCCCACGTCAAGTCTTCTCCCAGTCATACTCCAGCCCACCGTTACCCCAGTATTCCTATCATTTCCTGCACTGAAATTCACAGGAGGCATGGCAGCTCTGCAGCAATCGAGCACTCCACTGAGACCCTCTTAAATCTCAGTCACCTTGTATTCCCATCTTCTCTTGTCATCCCGAGACTGCCCCTGCTTCACACCAACCTCCATGTTTCTAGGTTGGTCTCCTCCTTCTTCCCTTGCTTCCAGTGGTAGACGGCCTTACTGCAGGCCTATGGGAAGACCTTGGAACAGATGGAGAAAAAGAAGACAGTGGATGTTAAGTACTTGTGACACTTTACCGTCTAAAACATGGGTCCCTGTACCTGCCTATCTGGATTTAGAGACCCATTTGCTGGCAGAAAAAGGCCTGGAGCTTCCCCAGCACTGAAATGAAAAGGATGGAAAAGGGAGGCAGGAAAAGTAAAAGGCAACAGACAGAGGCTCTTTTATTTTTTATTGATTTATTTTGAGACAGGGTCCCACTCTGTTACCCAGGCTGGTGTGCAGTGGCACGATCTTGGCTTGCCTCAGTCTCGACCTCCCAGGCTCAAAAGATCCTCCCACCTCAGCCTCCCAAGTAGCAGGGACTACAGACTGTGCCACCATGCCCAGCTAATTTTTTAATTGTATGTAGAGACAAGGTCTCGCTATGTTGCCCAGGCTGGTCTCGGACACCTGAGGTCAAGCAATCCTCCTGCCTGGGCGTCTCAATGTGCTGGGATTACAGGCAAGAGCCATCAGGCCCAGCAAGGCAAATCATTTTAAAACCACCTGTAGGTTTCTAGGGATTTCCCCAAAAACCCACCATTTCCTTCACCAAGATGGTCGGGTAAGTAGAGGGATCTGGAAGACTGGAGGATGGCAGGAGAGATGGGAGGCCCGAGAATCACAACCTACTACTGTCCACATCCCTTTCTACCTATCTCTAGGAGTCTCCAGCAGAAGAGAAAAGCGAAACGGGAAGTCTTTTGCTTCTACAAAATCACCATCCCTCCCTGCCAAAGGCTATAAGTAATATTCTTTGATACAATGTATATTTTTTTCCAATATTATCTGAAATGCAAATGAAAGCATCCATAGACAAGTTTACTGTCTTTATTGGTCTTCAACACACAATTTACAAGTCCTAAGCTTGGTAAGTATAATGCAGTTTAAGGAAAGTCCCCAAGCTAGCCCCGCCCCACATCCCAATCAGACAGCCGCGCCTAAGTTCCTGTCATAGAATTTATATAGAACTCCAACAGTTTAAACAGTGCCTGTACTCACACTAACCTCCTTGACCAGTGCGATTTCCTCCTCTCCTTCTTCCTTTCTCCTCGCCGCAAATACTGCCACACCGAACTACTGTCCGACAGGAGAGAGTAAAGCCACTCAGTGTTGTTCTAGCACCCAGGACATAGATCTCAAAGCCCGCCTCTCCAGGTTCAGGAACCTGGTTATCAAACGTTCCTCCCCACAGTCTGAAACACCACCCCTACCAACCCCGCCGTCCAGTCTCTAAGGCCCACCATTTTCTCTGCAAACGCCACCGTGGCGCATCCCTTCCACTAAATTGAGCAGGAACAGAGCGGACATGTGTGGCCAGTGATTACAGCGAATGGGCATCTCAATCTCTGTATTTCCCTCTGGCGGCGACAATATCCCCTCAAATCAAAGCCCATGGTTTGCCTGCACAGAGGTAGGCGGGGGCAGGGGGGCTCGCGAGAATCAGAGGCAAAGGCTCCTCGAACTTGAGGCACCATAGACCACCGCCCCCGCAAGCCCCGTAACCTCTGCCGGGATCGGTGAGCCTCTGCCGGCCTGGCCAGGGCTCGCGGGCCCCGAGGCCCTTACCTGCTCTGCTTTCCTCGGGCCCGATGCCAGCCCGCCGAGCGCAGGGCAGCGGGGAGCTGGTAGCCAGAAGCGAGTGACGACTGCACCGAAGGCTGCGTCTTTCTGCAGCTCCGGGTCACGTGAGGGCCGCGCGTCACCACCGAGCTCGCCCTCCTCCCCACCACCACCCACCACCCCTCAAGGGCCGGCGGCCAGTCTCTAGGAACCCTCCTCCCCCACTCCGCCCGCACAGACATCCCCCTTCTCCGGTCTGTGCGCCGTGCCCCAGTGAGCACGCCCTTGTCACTCATCTCAGTTCTCTCCAATCTGAGGGCCCACAAGTGGCATCAGCGCCTTGCGGTTGGAGTTTACCCACCTTCACTTACCGGAGAGGCTCTGCATCCCCCTACCCACTCCTATACCTTGGCTGTGGCCTTTTCTGCTTTTTCTTTGAGGAATCCTTTCTTTCTCTCTTAGGCTGTAAGACCAGCACTCCACACGCTCCCCCTACATGACCTGCCCTCTCTAAATATAATGCCTGCACCAAATGGCCTGTGGAAGGGGTTATCAAGAAGGAAAGCAAAAAGTGCAAATAGAGCTTTAACTTTCTTTTTGGTGTTCCTTTTTTTTCTTTTACTAATTTTGTCATCGGAAAAATACAGTATAGCCATTTTCACTTGGCACAAAAAAAAATCAGGGTATAAAAATAACAACAAAAAAACCTCATTCATTGGTTTACATTATTTTGCACCACATTTAAAAAATGTTTTCTAGTTACTGTAAACTATTTCACTGCTTTCAAAACAGACCAGTAATTCTTGACATTTTAAATACAAAACTGTCCTAAACAAAACCAGGACGTTTTCAATATGATCTATAAATTAACCTTTGGAAAGACATTTCGTATTCTAATCTTGACAATTTTACACAAGTGATTTGTAACTTTTGAGGTTCTGGCTGAACTTAGCATCTTTTTTCAGGTGTCTGAGACCTTCTTCAGAGAAGACTCCTAGAGGATTTATTTAAGACCCAACTCCTGATGAACCTAGTGCTTTACTAGTGACTTCCCAAATTAACCTGTTTTCCATTTGAGGGGCTTTATTTGGATTTTACATAAGTATGTAATCAGATCAGCCTCACCACACCCATGGAAAGACCAACTGCTGGTGCATGGATGGAAAGCAGGCTTAACAGGTGGAATTTTCATTCCCTCATGACACTGTTGAGATCTCGCTGCAAAAGTTAGTCCCCACGCATCCACCTGTCCCCAATGAGGAGTCATACTCTAAATATAGACCCTCCAGGCAGCCTCTTTCTTAGAACATTGAAATATGACACCTCAGATGGAGGGGCTCCACTGTGAGGGGCTCCTATGTGGAGAAGGCCCTTTCAGCAGGCAAGCAAGGAAGTCCTAGTACCTTGCAACCTTACTAATGGCTTTTGAGAACTCAATTGCCTGTGACAAACTTACTTTCTCCACCAAAGGAATATATTGACAAATTAACTGCATAAAAATTTTAAACTTTGGTAAAGTAAAAAAAAAAAAAAAAAAAAAAAAAAAAAAAAAAAAAAAAACATAAATATTGACTGTCAAAAGTAGCCTTTGTAAGGCCGGGCACGGTGGCTCACGCCTGTAATCCCAGCACTTTGGGAGGCCGAGGCGGGTGGATCACGAGGTCAAGAGATCGAGACCATCCTGGTCAACATGGTGAAACCCCGTCTCTACTAAAAATACAAAAACTAGCTGGGCATGGTGGTGCGTGCCTGTAATCCCAGCTACTCAGGAGGCTGAGGCAGGAGAATTGCCTGAACCCAGGAGGCGGAGGTTGTGGTGAGCCGAGGTCGCGCCATTGCACTCCAGCCTGGGTAACAAGAGCGAAAACTCCGTCTCAAAAAAAAAAAAAAAAAAAGTAGCCTTTGTAGTAATCTATATAATCTAAATTTGTAATAATCTAAAAGCTCTTACAGATCATTTGTAAAATGATTATCATTAGTAAAATGTTTATCATTAGTAAAATGATAAACAACCCATAGAAAAATTTGCCAAAAGACATGAACAGCTTTGTTCACAGAAAAGAAATATAAATTACTAATAAACATATGAAACATATGAAAAGATGCTCAACCTCAAAGAAACACAAATCTAAACAATTATGCCTTATCATGTTTGAAGTATGATTTTCTCAAAGCTTAGAAACTTGATCATATTGTTGACTTGCTTGTCAGGAAATGGGCAGTCCTCAGATATTGATGCAACCTCTTTATATAGGGCAATTTGGCAAACTCTATTTTTTTTTTTTTTTTT